CCCCCCCCCCCCACACGCACGCGCATGTAAACCATGAGTGCGCCACACACACACACGACTATACTCTGACAATCGCGTGGGTACTGTTCCATGATCTCCCGCTCGCGCACTTGTCCACAGTTCTCGGCTGAGGTGAACGCGTTCATGTGTCCTCCGCTGTTTGGGTGGCTCGTGGGAAAGTCGGAGCTCACGGAAGGCGTTGTCGATATCAAGGTGAGGCAGAGGCCGGCAGAACGGAAGAAGATAACACCAAATAGGCTTGCCACCCCATCCCCCGAGTATTTCGGAGCGATCATGCGCCGCCCCCAGGGAGACACCAGGAGGTGGCGAGGGGAGGGAGTTGGCGGGTGCGCGAAGTGCTTGTCGCTCATTCGCATATATATATGTATATATTTTTTTACCGAATACCGCAGAAGGTGTCTTCTTCGCGCTTGGTGAAAGACTGTGTGTCGCAAGCCATCCGTATTTCGGGGCAGCGAAAACGACCGACTCACGCATGGTCTAAAGCATTCAACACACCGTTGTCAAAAGGACGGGCCTCAAAAATGGTGTAGGCAATGGCAAATGGGGGTGACTAAGAACGTGCGAGACCCCTCTGGCCGTCAGCCCAATCTTGACTCGTGGTAGCCCCGGTGTTTTGCATTGCTCTGAGCCTTCCGTACATATCCTGCCACGATCGGGAGCCCGCCTTAGATGTTTAGATGTATCTACCTCGTCGTCTCCCGGGCCTCGTTGTTTCCTACCTCTGTTTATGTGTCCTTCCTTCCCTTGAGTGGCACTTGTGCGTACCTCCCCTGCTATTGGAGTTTGCCCTTGACCGATTCCTATGCCTACCACCCCTGTTGAAGTTTTCCCTCAATTGGTACTTGTGCATACCTACCCTTTCAAAAGTTTTCCCTTGACTGGCACTCACGCATACCTCCCCCTTCAATAGTGTTCCCTTGACTGACACCTATGCATACTTCCACTGCTGTTGGAGTTTTCCCTTGACTGGCACTTATACGTGCCTCCACTGTTGTTGGAGTTTTTTGTCGAGGTTTTGGTTCTCTACTTTCCTCACCGCCGCCTCCACCGTTGCAGGCGGCCAAGGAAGGGGAGGGTCCTAGGCAGGAGGTTTGGCGGAACACCGTGAAGGTGGAGCGCTGTCGGTACCTGGAGGCGAGCAAGTGCAAGGGGACGTGCATGAACCTCTGCAAGCTCCCCACGGAGGCCTTCTTCAGGGAAGACCTGGGTGAGTGGTCGCGAAGCCAGCCAGCCCGGACGTGCGTGGTGTGTGCGTCCATCGTTCCGTACAGAGGTTGTCGCGTAAGGCAGGAGTGGTAGTATTAAGCGGCGTGAGGCATCGACGTGTGTGTGTGTAGGCACCCTCTCTGTGCTGCCCTGAGACACGCAGCGGCGCGAGGAGTCGGAAGGTGGTGCTTGTGGTCGCGAGACATGAACGGTACACGAGACAGGCGTGCGTTGTGTGTGTGTCTCTCTCTCTTAATTGTTAGCATCGACCGCGCTAACCGGCTGACCAATGAAAAGACGTCAGTCTCGGTGCGTGTGTTGTTCCGTGAGACGACGCCACCTCTAGTTCTGTCGTTGTCTTAGTAGCCGCAACAACAACAACAACAACAACAGTTGTTTTGCGCCGAGGCCTTGTGCCCTTGACTGAAACAGAGTTAGCTGGGGTAGCTCTCCCGTTGCTCGACCGATGATGATCGCTCGACCGGTCCGCCTCGCCAACGGGGTTTTGCCAGGTATGCCGTTGCGGATGACCCCGAACTTTGAAGACCTGTCGTGCGAGTTCGCGTTTGGTCAAGATGCCTTGCCTGCTGAGGAAGACCCCCTGATGCGAGAGGTGAGCCAGAGGGAGGAGGGGTG